GCCATATTTAGTCCCCAGGATTTGTAAAGCCTGGCTCAACTCGTTGTGAATGCGATCTAAGCCACCCCACCCCATCCTACCCCACTGCCACCCTGTACGCTAAAAGATTCAACATGAGGATGGTAGAGTTGAATTACAAGTTGGATTTAATCTAAAAAAAAATTAAGAAATGGCTAAAAACATTGACCCTTTCTTTAAGAGATTGAACATGGGATTTCAGATGTTGAAATTTTCTTTCTTTCTCTTAATATAGCCTATGTGGTTTTACCTCAAAGGCTAGGATTAATGCATTTTTGAATAACAAAATTATTAGAATTGTATTTTATGCCAAGTAAAAACATATGGAATGGATGTACCATTCTCCTGATTTAAATCTGTTCCCTAAAACTTGAACTAGGTAGATATGCAGACAGGCATAACTTGTTGGAGTGATGGTGGCTAAGTACCAGAAAATTGCACAGGATGCCAAGAAAAAGTTCTCAATTGTATTTTTTGCTTAAATCCCACAAACTGTCACTAAAGGTTTCATCTTCATGACCTGTTATATGTGGATTGACTACAACTTTATGCTCCAAGGCTCAGCCCTGTGTGACCTTTTTTTTACCCTAGATGAAGCTTTACCTTAGTTTCTGGCAAAAAGCCAGTATATCTATAGCTCTGTATAGAGACTGCATGCATGCCAGGGTTAGTCTACAAAGTACCTGATGTCATAGATGCATTAGAATTATCTGTTTTGACCATGTGGACCAAGAGTAGAGCAAATAATTCATAATTGCAGCACTGAATTCATTTTGATTTTGTTTTAGGTTTGATCAATCAGCAAGATGAATGACGAGAAGTCTAAGCAGCCCATGATGTCTATAGAAGACGGAGAAATGGAGCCAGAAAATCCCCCAATGTCCTGTCCTCGGAGAGTAAGATTTTTTTGATAGAACATTTTAACAGACATTTTATCACTGAATGAAAATTTGACTCTATATTTTTGTGTAACAGAAATGAAGTATAATATTAGGTTCAGCGTATACACATGCACGTGCGCGCGCACACACACACACACACACACACACACACACACACGACAAATATGCATGTGCTTCCCACAGAATTACACACAGAGTAAGTTGCCAGGTAAATTGCATATTGCATCATTTTTGTGATAATTTGTGACAGGTGTAACTGATACTGGTATTAATGGTGCATTTAATCAGAATACTTTCATTCAGAAGTTGGTTGTAAAATAAGAGGTGTTATCATGGACAGTTTTGTAATGAGTGCTATTTTGAAAAGATACACTCTGCACAATTTAGACAGAACTTGTGGATATTCAAAAATTATATTTGACATTCCACTTGTTTTGGGGAAAAGAGCCTTTATGTGTGAAGTTTTTTCCTATTTAAATTATATGTTAAAGTCAATTATATACACTGAATATTTCACCATTCTATTTATCATGTTCTGGACTTTCATGGCCACCCTGTTGGTTGGTAGTGGTTAGTCAGTAATGTGAAAGAAATTGGTGTTTACCACTACCCTTATATTCATTTGTATATTGTAAACACATGTTCAGTAGTCTGGATAAATGGATGTATAATGCCAACAAGCTCAAGAATGATGGCTTTTTATCACTCTGGCCTTTTGGCAATGCCCTTTTGCTTTCTATTTCCGATATTTGGCAAATCCTCAAGTTTACCTGCTCGTGTAAAATACTGTTATGTTTGTTTGGGGGAATTCGTAAAGATGCCTTGTGATTCAATTAAAAGAAAAATGTGAATTGTAGCTGCTTCATATTCAAGTAGATCCTTGGAATCTCTTTGGTGATGGCATAACATAATATTTGATAGCTCAAAATTTCTTACGGTCTTATAATTTTGCATGCTTTAGTGAAGGGAATAATGGAAGTTAAAGCTCGTGATACTTTTGAGATGTTTTAACATGTGTGTCATCAAACACTTTTGAGATACCATGTGGGAAATCTGCAAAACACTTTAGAATAATAAATCTTTCCACACCAGATTTGATATAATTAAAACCATAATGTTAAAATAGAGAAAACTCCTTGGGACACCAACTGTTTTAATGCTAATGGCCTTTCAAAACCATTAACCTTTGTATTATGGGTTCATGCAGTAGAGAAATATTGGACACAAACCAAGGAATTCATCTAATCTTTTGTAGTCTTAATTATTTTCATGTTAGGGTAATTATGAATTATACAACAGATGGCAAGACAGCACAAAAAGAAATCATTCATATCCTGTTCCTCTATTTGATCTTGTTTAAATATTTCACCATTTTTAAATGTATGTGATGAGTACCAGATCTATTTACGTCATTGTTCATGAATAATGTACATGTGGAAAGCATGCTGAATGTATGTAAGGAAGTCTCAAGGCTATTATAGCACATGCTCATGTGCAGTAAATAAATGACTGAGCAAAATTTGCCATGATGTGCCCTGATGATTCCGTAATGATTTTACCTGGATTATTCATAAAGAAAATGAAAAAATAGTGTTTAGTATGTAAATTTGTTTCATAATATTTTTATTTCGTATGAGGGCATTCAATGGATTTTTAAAAAGATTTTTCTAAAATTTAAAATGCACAGTTAACTATCTTGATGAAATAATTTCAAGTGTTCATGTATCTTATAACATTACCATTTTACTCCTTTTATATAGAGGAAAACATGTAATAACAAACATACATTTTATTTTACAGTTTTGGAAATGGATGATTCAGAAAGAGAACTTGCTCCTGATCCTGACTGTATTAGGAGTGCTGTTAGGGATATTTATTGGTCTTCTAGCACGACTGGCCGATCCAGATGTGGATGCAGTNTGTGATAATTTGTGACAGGTGTAACTGATACTGGTATTAATGGTGCATTTAATCAGAATACTTTCATTCAGAAGTTGGTTGTAAAATAAGAGGTGTTATCATGGACAGTTTTGTAATGAGTGCTATTTTGAAAAGATACACTCTGCACAATTTAGACAGAACTTGTGGATATTCAAAAATTATATTTGACATTCCACTTGTTTTGGGGAAAAGAGCCTTTATGTGTGAAGTTTTTTCCTATTTAAATTATATGTTAAAGTCAATTATATACACTGAATATTTCACCATTCTATTTATCATGTTCTGGACTTTCATGGCCACCCTGTTGGTTGGTAGTGGTTAGTCAGTAATGTGAAAGAAATTGGTGTTTACCACTACCCTTATATTCATTTGTATATTGTAAACACATGTTCAGTAGTCTGGATAAATGGATGTATAATGCCAACAAGCTCAAGAATGATGGCTTTTTATCACTCTGGCCTTTTGGCAATGCCCTTTTGCTTTCTATTTCCGATATTTGGCAAATCCTCAAGTTTACCTGCTCGTGTAAAATACTGTTATGTTTGTTTGGGGGAATTCGTAAAGATGCCTTGTGATTCAATTAAAAGAAAAATGTGAATTGTAGCTGCTTCATATTCAAGTAGATCCTTGGAATCTCTTTGGTGATGGCATAACATAATATTTGATAGCTCAAAATTTCTTACGGTCTTATAATTTTGCATGCTTTAGTGAAGGGAATAATGGAAGTTAAAGCTCGTGATACTTTTGAGATGTTTTAACATGTGTGTCATCAAACACTTTTGAGATACCATGTGGGAAATCTGCAAAACACTTTAGAATAATAAATCTTTCCACACCAGATTTGATATAATTAAAACCATAATGTTAAAATAGAGAAAACTCCTTGGGACACCAACTGTTTTAATGCTAATGGCCTTTCAAAACCATTAACCTTTGTATTATGGGTTCATGCAGTAGAGAAATATTGGACACAAACCAAGGAATTCATCTAATCTTTTGTAGTCTTAATTATTTTCATGTTAGGGTAATTATGAATTATACAACAGATGGCAAGACAGCACAAAAAGAAATCATTCATATCCTGTTCCTCTATTTGATCTTGTTTAAATATTTCACCATTTTTAAATGTATGTGATGAGTACCAGATCTATTTACGTCATTGTTCATGAATAATGTACATGTGGAAAGCATGCTGAATGTATGTAAGGAAGTCTCAAGGCTATTATAGCACATGCTCATGTGCAGTAAATAAATGACTGAGCAAAATTTGCCATGATGTGCCCTGATGATTCCGTAATGATTTTACCTGGATTATTCATAAAGAAAATGAAAAAATAGTGTTTAGTATGTAAATTTGTTTCATAATATTTTTATTTCGTATGAGGGCATTCAATGGATTTTTAAAAAGATTTTTCTAAAATTTAAAATGCACAGTTAACTATCTTGATGAAATAATTTCAAGTGTTCATGTATCTTATAACATTACCATTTTACTCCTTTTATATAGAGGAAAACATGTAATAACAAACATACATTTTATTTTACAGTTTTGGAAATGGATGATTCAGAAAGAGAACTTGCTCCTGATCCTGACTGTATTAGGAGTGCTGTTAGGGATATTTATTGGTCTTCTAGCACGACTGGCCGATCCAGATGTGGATGCAGTAATGTTGGTCTCCTTCCCTGGTGAACTGCTGATGAACATGTTGAAAATGTTGATTTTACCTTTGATTATTTCTAGTTTAATATCAGGTCAGTTGATTGATGTTATGCACAGCAGCTTGACACAGTTGTACATTAATTATTCTACAATATTTTCAAAATGGTTCATATAAAATAAATCTTTGTTTATTTCTTTAATAACAGTATGGCTACAGTATGTTTATGGATCTTTTAAACAACAAAATAGATTTGGTTTGTTACAAACAAATGAAATCAAATATATGCAAAAGATGTAATATATACGCATCACATATAAAGCTTTGAGTATATGTGATAATATATAAAGTTAAGCAAATCTGTTCCATACTCGAGTTAACACATGATTAGCTTAGTTAAATATGTATAATTTTTTTCATAATCAAGGGTTGGCTCAACTGGATGCCAAGGCCAGTGGTAAACTGGGAGGCCGTGCTATGGTCTACTATTTCACCACCACCGTGATTGCATCCATCATTGGTATTGTGTTAGTTGTGACCATTCACCCCGGAGACCCCTCCATACGTGCTGGCCTTGGGTCTGGCACAACCGAAAACAAGGTGTCTACACTGGATGCATTCCTGGATATATTTAGGTGTGGATGAAATAAAACCCACTGGGAAATGTTTCTGTGATCTTTAAGATAACCGTTCTTCATGAAAAGCAGAAAAAAATAATATATGTTGAAAAATGTCCCAATAAATGGTTTATCAGTTGCTTTTCCAACTAGTGAAAAGATAACAGTTCATGGAAATTTTAAAGAATATGGTTGTATGAAAATGTACTTCTACTGGGCATGTGTCTGGCTTTTAAATGCAATTTGTACTGAAAGAGAAGCAGATGCTTCATAATTATTATAACATCTTTTGAAGTGGAATACCACATATTCTATAAATTTTGTGTTGAAAAAAAAAACTTGTTAATAGTTTTTCAAAACTTACTTAGCTTAAACAACTATTTTGTTTTTATTTACAGGAATTTGTTGCCTGAAAATCTTGTAGTGGCATGTTTTTATAGTGTTTCTACCTACTATGTAAAAGCCCCTCCTTTGGTAGAGAAGGTGGACCCAAGCATGACTCCTGACGCAAATGTCACTGAGAATGCCACAGAAGTTGTGTTATCTATTGTTGATCAGTTAGATGCTGATTATAATATTTCAATAGACAATATGACAGCAAATGAAACAGAAGAACCAGAGAAAGAGAAATACGTAAGAGAACTGAGATACGGAGGAAGTACAAATGTATTAGGTATAGAACTTTGTCAATTTTTTTAAAGTTCATTTTATCTTGGTTAAATCTATAATTTGGTGGACATGTGTTATTTTAATAACTGCCTGCTTCAATGTGCTCTCTCTTTGCACTGATTTGTGATGTATGTGAACGATTAAGATAATTTAAAAAAATTAGTGAATATTTTTATAACAAGTAAAATATCTTTTGGTATATTCTCTAGGTATATGTGTAAGTAATTGCTCAGTGAGGTACATATATGAATATGAATACCATGTTATATTAATTTGAAACTTATTGCATTTTTCTCATGATGTGATTGTGTCTTCCTTTTTTTCCAGGTCTAATTATTTTCTGCATTGCATTTGGTGTGATCCTTAGTTCAATGCATGAAAGGGCCAGAGTCATGACAGACTTTTTCTTCATTCTGAATGAAGTGGTGATGACAATGGTTGGAATTATCATGTGGTAAGATATCTGGATGTTTAGTTGTTTTCAATTTCAATATAACCCTAAATTTTAAATCTGACTCTGGTGATGGTATCTGGTTTTATTTGCTTTTGCTAAGATAAATGGTGCCAAGTTTCATGATATTTCAGATAAAACTGGAATACATTGAGGATTAACGGGGCAAGTTTTACAGTTACTAGTATAATAATAAAAAAGCTCTTACTGACTAAATTTTAAAGAAAATTTCCAACATTGATATATCAAATAATACAATGAATTTCCAGGTATGCTCCGTTTGGTATAATGTGTTTAATTGCTGGTAAACTGATGGAAATTGATGACATGGCCAAGACAATCAGGCAGCTTGGAGTGTACATGGTCACTGTAATTGTGGGTCTTATCATTCATGGTGTTGGTGTACTGCCACTCATTTACTTTGTCATAACAAGAAAGAACCCTTTCACATTTGCCAAGAACATGCTGCAGGCTTGGCTGACAGCTTTGGGAACTGCTTCAAGGTAATAACAATTGACATTGTATAATTTGTGTTGATGTATCAGTTTTTTATCTGCTTTTTTATCTCCTTTGAAAGTTTCAGTAACACCAGCAAATGATTCTTTAAATCTGTAGATATATTGTTAGGATGGTTTTATTGTATAATCAATAATCACTGTGAAAGAATGAAATGTGAAAAAATCATATAACATATGTAAATATTCAGAAGTGACAACTATGAACTGTATTGATTGTGTTGTGACAGTGTGGGTCTGTTTTTGTGTTAATTAGTGTGTATGTGTGCACATAATTTATTTATTTATTTATTTATTTATTTATTTTTTATTTATTTATTTTTATTTATTTCAGTGCTGCCACCATCCCTGTCACCTTCAAGTGTCTGGAGGAACTGAATGGTATTGACAGGCGAGTGACCAGGTTTGTGATCCCAGTGGGAGCCACTGCCAACATGGACGGCACAGCTCTGTATGAGGCTGTGGCCACACTGTTCATTGCACAAATGAATGGAGTGAACCTGGATATTGGGGAAATAATTACTGTTAGGTAAAGACTCTGTGGCTGTAGTTGAGTGAGTTGAGTAGGGTATCTTGAAGTATCTTGTGTGTATGTGTTTATGTGCATGTGTACTTGGGTGTGAGAGATAAGATTGTTGGAAAAAAATTAAAAAATTTATAGAAATTGTTCTGTTCAAAACTGTTACCTGGTAATGGTTAAAACATGTTAGACATCAACATTTGCTATAATTTATTGAAAGCCATATGAAACAGATAAACAGTGAATCCAAATTATTAATATGCATAAAAAGTTTCGGCTTATTACATCCAAGGGAAGTTTTATTATTTGATTAATAATGTATCTGTAGTCCTTTTGTTTGTAGGTATAGTGTTTCCTTGAACTGGCTGTAATACGAGTAAGTATTTAGAATTTTGTTAATTTTTTAGTCTAACTGCCACCCTGACCAGTATTGGTGCAGCTAGTGTGCCCAGTGCGTCACTGGTCACCATGATTCTGATCCTGACAGCTGTGGGACTGCCTGTGAAAGACATCAGCTTGATTGTCATGGTGGATTGGTTGCTGTGAGTATTTTTAAGCTGAATTTGTCAGTGTAACTTCAGTGGAAAGTAGTTGGATTATTTTTGTCTAAATTAAGTGACTAATGTGATTTATTAAAGCATTGTATAACTGAATATTTATAATACCTTATTTAAATGTTTAAAAATTGTAGAAGACACTGAAAAACTGAAAACGTGCACAGTGAGGGTTATTTGAGTTAAAAGTATATAATTTTGAAAATTTGGAAATATTTTTATCCTTCAATTGATTAAATTTGAAATATTTTTATTATTTAATGGTAGTGTCAGTAATATAAAAAGAGGGGATTTTATAATACTTCTCTCTTTAAAATCAGGTTACATATATAAATCTCTCTTGTTTATTTATTAGGGACCGTTTGCGAACCTCCATCAATGTTCTGGGAGATGCATTTGGTGCTGGTATTGTGGCCCATCTCTCTCGCCATGAACTGGCTGCTCAAGATGCAGAACTTGCGGCAGAGGAGGCAGCCAAGAATGGAATTGAAGAACGTCGACCAAGCAAAGCATCCTTAAATGACAGGGGTACTAATGGTTTATATCCAGAATTGAATAAAGAATCTGAAACCCCCATGTAGAGTTCCAATGTTGCCTGCCAGTATTTGGTAATCAGTTGTTAATCATAGATTAATGTTGTGGTGTACTACTAATCGATAGATTAAGAGATGACTTGCCTGGGCAAGTTAGCATTTGTCACCTGTCAACCATGAAGTTGTTTCAAAACTTTCTTAGAACTAGCTTTGCCTACTTTGATAGTTGCCTGGGATGTGTTGTAAGTACCTGAAGTAATATAGACGTTTCAATATTGTCATTTTTTTATTTTTAAAATGCCCCTCAGTTCCAAAATTTCATAGCATTTCAGCAAAATCTCCTCTATGGCATTATTGTTTAGACTTTAGAATATATCATGCGATTGGTGACTTGTTTATTTTCCCAGATGCATGCTTTCCCTGTGTTTTAGTTGTATATTATGTAGTGTCAGTCTGTGTCATGGCTTTTGATGTACATCAGACTCATTCTAATTTTTTATGACAAATGTTTTGTGAAATTACTTTAAAAATTTGGTGCTTTACTGGGCTTGCTAGCAAAAGTTTTTTTTTTCAAGCAAATAGATGTAAAATGTATACCAAAGTAAAATTTTGAATCAGATAAGAGATAAGTCGACACATATTTTTCATTTTTCTCAGTTTTAGCAACTATTCAGTTTGCATTTGGTGAAATGTAAGTGTGCTGGTATGAGCCTAGCTATATATTGGATTAAGTATCTCATTTTGAAGCATAATAGCATAATTAAAAGCAGCACTGCACACGAAGCACTTTAAATGTAAATGTAGTATTAATATTTTAAATTATTATTTTGACTGTATTATTATTTTTGCATGCAGCTGATGGGGATGTAGGTAAGGCTATTATTGTACATGCACCACCGGATGATGAAGATAAGGGGAAGGAAGGAATGAAATGGGTGTAACGCAGTTATATACAAAATTTTAAAATTGGAAAGGATTGTGAATTTGCTATCAATACCTAACATTACTATAATCAACAAGTGGAAAATTTTTTATGCTTGATTATGGTGACCCACAGTCAACAGGTATAGATAGACAAAACAAATCTCCATATTGACAGAGATCAAGTGAAAAAGTCACATAAGATACGCTTACAAGTCTGTTTGCAAAAACTTACACAGCACATTTGATGATAAAAGTATGATTGAGAGAGATATCTTTTCCTTTATTGAAAATGCAAAATATCAAATTTAATAGTGAACCAGAATTCTTACCCGCAAATTGATTATTTTTTTAAAAAATGCTAAAGTATGGTTATGTTAGAAGTTATAAGATTGCCAGTATTTGTACTACAGTTCAGGGTTCCAATGAGCATAATCTCACTGCTCTTCCTCAAAGCCATACACTCAAGTACATAATTTTGTTATCAAGGTGTAATTGTTTATTATGCAATTAATGGCATATTGCTGTTTATATCATTGTAATTATTTTTTGGTGTATGTGCATCTTTAGAGAGTTATTTGCACTTTTCCAAAGTCTTATGATGGTTGTTCTGTATAAAATCATTTTAATTAAAGCATGAGCATGGTGAAACACCTGTGACAAGGATAAACTTCATATAGATATACCATGTATTTTACTGTCACATTGCAAGCCTTCTTTAATTATTCAAGCTTTAAGTACCAGCAACCTGCAGTTTCATTTCTGAATTAATATATCAGTGATTGTTTGATGTATTTGACAGTTTCGTCATAATAGGTATTGCATTTATAAAAAAAAAATTGCACAAAAACATTGTATAAATAGTATAATATTCTTATTATAACTACAAATTATTTTCTAATGTACAGACTTTATTTACTATCAATAGGTAATATGCACATTGAGACTGAAACAGACAAATTATAACACCTGGCCATGAGTGAGAGGATTATCTTTGCAGCATACAGTATTGCCATAGCAGCTTGAAGGTTGCTGATATAGTATGGTGAGATAAAAGGTACCTAGTACATTGTACAACATAATAGATGGGGTCATAGCTTTATGAGTTGTACAATGGTACAAATAAGTGAACTCATTCAAAACTAGGAAGAATTTTTAGTTACTCAGTGTTGTGATTCTGTGGTACTGCCAGGTCTTTTGAAGAGAGAGATATTTGATGTGACTTACTAAGAAAGAGATTTGGTAGGCTTTGGGTAACATATACTGTATAATAAGCTACGCACAGTTGATATACCATTGGTTTGTCTTTGAACTGCATTTTTTATACTGGTATTCCAGTGTACATTACCAATACTTAAAAAAAATTCAGTCAAACTGTGCCTATATTGACAGAAAACTATATATATAAACTCAATGTATACAGAACTTAACTTCATCAAGGGTAAAAGTTATTATGACTATTATGTATGAAATTATTCTCAATTCCCTATTTGGTGATTAAGTATTTAGCAATTTGAATTATGCCTTTTAAGCTTATATGTAATATTCTCAGTATACAGACCTTTTTTTAGAGATTTTTCTTTAATTATTTGAGTACTTTTTCAATAGATTTTTTTGTTACCACTTTTTATGCATTTAAATCCTTTCATAGTATTTCTTGCAATACAACTGAATTGATAAGGAAGGCGATACTTAGAGAAACCAAGATCATAATTGACATTGAATTAAAAAAAAAGATTTAATAGGTCTTAAATGAAATTATAAAAATGACCCTCTTCTTTGGGTTAGGAGATTGAGCCTTTGCTCTTCCCAGTTGTAAATAACATATTGATATCTTATGCAGTGCACTTGCATTTTACACATGAATGTTCAAAAATTGTATTGAAGCCAGTCAGTCTACCCATATTATATTATGATATAATATATTAATATTATGCACAAAATATTTACATTAAGTAGAATGTGCCAGGGTGTTCCAGTTATAAGCAGTAGATACTTGTGCTACATGTGCCACCTCTGTCGTGTCTGTGTTTGTACAGATAGCACACACTTGCAGAAACTGAAACCTTACAACACAAAGAGGCCACAGATATACACATGTGCCCAGGTGTAAACTTCAGAGAAAAGGGATATAAACAATTTTAGTACCCCGAGTTTCAAATTTTACTAGTAAATTTTGTCAGTGGCAATCATCCAATATAGCCCAAAGTATGGCAACTTAGTGTTTAATCAAGCGAGGTCTTGCAGAATTGCAAAAAGTGGAGCCAGAAATAATGGCAGACTAGCAAGTGAGGTGCAACAATGAATGAATGCTGATAGGATTTATCCACTGGTATTTTTCTGGTCGTTATTTAAGTTCTTTGAAATAACAGTATTTTTTGTATGTATTATAATGTTTTACATGTTATTCCTGTATTGCTTCCTAAGGTGACATTCCTGCCACACATGGTTTCAACCTTCTTGCTAGAAGAAAGTTAATCCCACCTCACTCAGATTAATGCACATTTTCTAGTCTCATATGACAAAACACAGTGTTGGCAACCTTTATTTTAGGCTGTATTGGATGATTTCCACTGGCAGGAACTGTTCTAATTGAAGTGTATAAATGCATGAGATAGAACATATTAGACTCTGAAACCCAGGGCGATACTTATTGGCATCAGTTGGATTGCATTTTCCACTCAGAGATAGTGGGTATTTTTAGCAAAACAAAAGACAACTACTCTCTTCTTTGATAAAAATTTTTCGGGCTATATTTCACGTGATTCTAAAAACGTCTCTATTGCCTAATTTTATACCACAAAAAAATATGCAGGTTTGTCTGGTGTTTATGCTTAGAGATTGATTTGTGTTCAGGTTTACCTAGAAACCAAGGTTATTTAACCTTGAATCTGCTGTTAGTATTGCATGTTGTAGAATGGAATAAAGACTGTATTATAGTAGAATATTTAATGTGTTGTACAATATACAGTATTGTGCTATTTTTTCATATTTCTTGATCCATCTATTCAAAAAATGAATGATATTTTGTGTTCCTACATAAATACACATTCAGGATATCAGTTTTGACAACTTTTCAAAACCTTGTAGCATTCTTGGGAAAATGTATTAGTAAAATGGACAGTGAAAAAGCTGTAGGTTTTAAGGCCATCCCTCATATTTTAAAACACCAGGTAATAATATGTTTGAAGAATATGACAAGTTTTCATTAAGAATGTAGATTTGTCAGAAAGATTTCGCGTGGTGATGACACTAACCTCTACAAATTCAATTTCAGAAGTATATCACAATGGAATATATATGATCTTTGTCCAAGATATGATCTTATACTTCTTGCCTTTCTTGCAGTCCTTGGCTATTTTTATAAAGTCTGCTACAAAGCTGGTGCATTTTGCAAAACAAAAAAAAAGTTAACTGTGGTATTTATAGTCTTATTTGGCAGAAATCCTTCCATCTTACTAAGTATAGACTTGTATACCACAAGTAAATGTACTTTAATCGCGTTATTAAATGGAAAAATACACTGTCAACCGCAGTTATCAAGTTTATCAAGAGAAATATAAATATGCACGTTCATAAACCGCAGAGCTGGGGTCATTAGACCCATTTCACAGCACAAAAAATGTGTGGCACTTGACTTGGGATTTATTCTGCTTGGTCACGTTGTTCTCCCGTTTGACAGACTAACAAGAAGTGCCTGCGTCATTGCTCGCTACCTGGTCTTGAATTTTAGTTTCATAGGCCGCGTAAGATATATGAATAGATTTGGTACCAGTCTACGTAGAGACAATCCAAGCTGTACGAGAAATCGATTTGTTCCTTTAATCTGTATTTCAATCTCCATAGTTAATTACCATCAAAGTGTGTTGTATGGATTATAATATACACATTGATTAATTTAGCATGTGGTGACATCTTGACGTTAAAACAGAACATAAAACTACAGACACGTGCATTTAAGAGGGCCCGTTTCAATGTCTAAAACTACAATACCACGTAATAGAAGAAGGTTAATTTCTTAACTATCAACCAAACCCGACAATGTGGGGTAAGTATTTCTGACCTAATGTTATTGTTGGAGGGAAGAAAAAATATGCACAGTGCAAACAGAAATTTGACCGCGACCCGCTGGAAGTATTGACACAGCTCTTCATTGAATAAATTTACCGACAACCTGTTAGCTGTCACCAGTACATTTCCTCGTTGAATCACTATATAGAGGATTACCTCAACCGCCGTGGGACGTGTTTTATTAATCCCGCCACCACCTCAAGGAGTACTGAAATACAAGGAATACATTTCTTGTAGACTACGCCCACTTGTATTGTGGCCAACAGAATCAACATAATAAAGAGCGCTTCTCGACCTGAACGGTGTACCGCCACAAAACCAGCCACGGAGGCATGCGGATTGTGGAGAATAACATCAGGGCTCTTAGGAATTCAAACAACTGCGGAA